AACCAAGTGCTGTTTGTTCCGGAAATACGCAAAAACCTGATTTCCGGTTCATTGTTGAACAAGCATGGCTTCTGCATGGTCTTTGAGTCGGACAAACTAGTTTTGGCTAAATCGGAAATGTATGTGGGCAAGGGGTATGCAGATGATGGGCTGTTTAAGCTCAATGTAATGAATATTAATAATAATAATAATAATAATAATAAAATCTCTTCTGCTTACTTGCTTGAGTCTTCCAATGTGTTGCATGGTAGATTAGGACATGTTAATTTTAATTCTATACGTAGATTTATTAACATGGAACACATTCCTAAATTCACAATTGATGTGAAACACAAATGTGGAGTTTGTGTAGAGGCAAAACTAGCGAAAACGTCTTTCAAATCAGTTGAAAGAAAAACGGAACCACTTGAATTAATTCATAGTGACGTTTGTGATTTTAAATCAATACAAACATGTGGCGGTAATAAATATTTTATTACCTTTATCGATGATAGCACTCGCTATAGCTACGTTTATTTATTAAAAAATAAACACGAAGCAATCAATAAATTCATTCTTTATAAGAATGAAGTGGAAAACCAACTTAATCGACGGATTAAGACGGTTAGGAGTGATCGATGTGGTGAGTATGAAGCACCAATTGGTGACTTTTGCGCTAGTGTGGGTATAGTACACGAACGTATCGCACCATATTCACCTCAATCAAACGGTGTTGTCGAACGAAAGAATCGCACATCGAAAGATATGATGAACGCGATGCTAGTAAGTTCGGGCTTGCCACAAAATATGTGGGGCGAAGCAATCTTGACAAGCAATTACCTTTTAAATAAGGTTCCCCGGAAAAAATATGACAAAACTCCGTACGAGTTGTGTAAAGGCAGACGACCTTCCTATCAATATTTAAAAGTGTGGGGGTGTCTTGCTAAGGTGCTTGTACCAACACCTAAGAAAATAAAAATAGGTCCAAAAATGGTGGATTGTATTTTTATTGGATATGCACAAAATAGTAGTACGTATCAGTTTTTAGTGTACGATTCGAATAATTCGGATGTACTTAAAAACACAATAATTGAATCAAGGAATGCTTCATTCTTTGAAGATGTATTTCCATGCAAGTCCAACGAAGGGCCTAGCACGTCAAAACGAACATTTGACGTAGCTATGGAAAATACTAGCGAGGGGTCCGAAGAAGAACCCGAACCCAGACGTAGCAAACGTGCTAGAATTGAAAAAAAAAATCGGACCGAATGTTCTCACATACTTGGTAGAATTTGACTCGGATATTCTAACATGTATGGTAGAAAATGAACCGGATTTTCTAACATGTTTGGTAGAAAATGAACCACGGACTTATACGAAAGCCGTGACGTCTACCGAAGGGCCTATGCGGAAAGAAGCCATCAAAAGTGAGGTGAATTCTATCCTTAAAAATCACACATGGGAAATGGTTGATCTTGCTCCGGGAAATAAACCTTTGGGATCCAAGTGGATTTTTAAACGGAAAATGTAACCTGACGGTTCCATAGATAAGTACAAGGCCAGACTTGTAATCAAAGAATACAAGCAACGTGAGGGCCATGATTACTTTGACACGTATTCTCCTGTGACGAGAATAAATTCCATTAGGATGATACTAGCAATTGCCGCATTGCGGAAATTAGAAGTTCATCAATTGGACGTAAAAACCGCTTTTCTAAATGGCGATATAGACGAAGAAATCTATATGGAACAGCCCGAAGGCTTTCTTGTTCCAGGCCAAGAAAGAAAAGTGTGTAAATTAATTAAATCATTGTACGGATTGAAACAAGCCCCTAAACAGTGGCACGAAAAGTTCGATCATGCAATGTTAATTAATGGGTTTAAAATAAACGAAAGTGACAAATGCGTCTATGTGAAGAGCACGGTAGACGGCTATGTCATTTTATGTTTATACGTGGATGATATATTCATCGTGGGTAGCAATAATCTAATGATTAATTCTACCAAAAGCATGTTAAATTCTAAATTTGACATGAAGGATATGGGGCTGGCCGATTTAATCCTTGGGATTAAAATAATTAGAGGACCTGACGGTCTTACGCTAAGCCAATCCCATTACGTTGATAAAATCCTTACGAAATTTAATAAGGATGATTTTCAAGAGGCAAGGACTCCATTAGATAAAAACGTACAACTTACCAAAAATCGTGGAGAGTGTATTTCTCAAGTAGAATACACTAGGATTATTGGAAGCTTGATGTATCTAATGAGTTGTACCAAGCCTGATATTGCCTTTGTGGTTAGCAAGTTGAGTAGATATACTAGCAACCCCGGTGATGAACACTGGAAGGCAATAGTAAGAGTTTTGAGGTATTTACGAAAAACCCAAAACCTTAGACTGCACTATGGAAGATATCCAGTTGTACTTGAAGGTTATAGCGACGCTAGTTGGATATCCGACATTAAGGACTCAAAGTCCACAAGTGGATATGTTTTCACTTTGGGAGGTGCAGTCGTGTCA